AGATGTTCACCTGCACATCTGCCAATGTGGTATACTGCATCCGCTGTGGCTTCCTCTACATCGGGGAAACCAAGCGGAGACTCAGGGACCGCTTTGCAGAACACCTACGCTCGGTTCGCAACAAACAACTCCCCCTCCCATTCCTCAGACATGTCCATCCTGGGCCTCCTGCAGTGCCACAACGATGCCACCCGAAGGTTGCAGGAACAGCAACTCATATTCCGCTTGGGAACCCTGCAGCCCAATGGTATCAATGTGGATTTCACAAGTTTCAAAATCTCCCCTCCCCCTACCGCATCCCAAAACTAGTCCAGCTCGTCCCTGCCTCCCTAACCTGTTCTTCCTCCCACCTCAAGCCGCACCTCCATCTCCTACCGACCAACCTCATCCCGCCCCCTTGACCTGACCTATCCCCTTCCTAACTCCCTACCACCATCCCCGCCTCTTCAACCTGTTTGTTTCCTCTCCGCCTCCCACTCTCTCCCTATTTATTTCAAAACCCCCTTCCCCTCCCCCTGTTCTGATGAAGGGTCTAGGCCCGAAACGTCAGCCTCTCTGCTCCTATGATGCTGCTTGGCCTGCTGTGTTCATCCAGCCCTGCACCTTGTTGTCTACAGAAAGATATAGACTGATTATCAAAGTACAGAGATGTGGCAAATAATCTGAAAATGCAGAATGGCCCATTTTGGCAGGAAGTAAAAAGCATATTGCTTAAATGGTGTAAGATTGCAGAGGTTCAATATGAAGGGATCTGGGTGTCCTTGTACATGAATCACAAAAGGCTTGTGTGTAGGTACAGCAGTTAATGTGGAAAGCTAATTCGAAAGGAAATGAGAGTTTGCTTCAGTTGTCCAGGACGGTGGTGAGACCACATCGGAGTACTGTGTACAGCACTGATCACATTATGGAAAGATGTAAATGCATTGGGAGGCAGTCAAACTCCAAGGAAACACTTTAACCAGACTAATAAAAAGGGTTATTCTGAGGAAATATTGGACAGGCTAGATTTGCATCTGGATTGAAATATAGATACTCCAGGATCTTAAAAGGGTAAATGTGGAGATGATGTAAATAGAGAACTTGGAGTCACTGTTTATCAAGGGTCACCAATCTAAAACAGATTAGTCAAAACTTGTTACTGAGGATTGTCTCTCTTTGGAACTCGTCCTCAAAAAGGTAGTGAAAGTAGAGTCAGAGTCATACAGCACAGAAACAGGTCCTTCAGTCTAACCGGTCTATGCCAAACATAATCCCAAAGTATACTAGTCCCCCTGCCTCTCCCAACATTTAAGGCAGAGGCTGACAGATTTTTGTCAAGCAAATGAAAGGTTGTCTGGGATAGACAAGATTGCAGATTTGAGTTTACCATCAGATCAGCCATGATCTTGCTGAATTAAATGGCAGAGTTAGTGCAAGGGACCAAACAGTATATTCCTTATTTTTGTGTACAATGTTTCCTTGTTAGAAAGTCTAGGTCCAGGGTTACTGTTTAAAAATGAGTTGCTGCCCACTTTAGTCAAACAGAAACCTCTCGAGGATAGTTACTTTAACTCGAAGGTGATGTATGCAGATACCTGACTGTTGCATGCAGATACTGTGTTAACCTGACATTTAACATGCAAGTCAAAATAACAATAAGTTGATGTGAGATAACTGCACTGAAATAAATACTCGACAGGCAATGAACAATCAAATGAACAGATTCCATAAATCTTTATTTTATTGAAGCATTTTGTTTGCAGTATAGACAAAAGATTTCAGAAATCGAATTAAAATATTTTAAACAACTTGGCAACAAAGTTCCAATGGCGCCAAAATTTCCCCCTTAACAGATAGAATGAAAAGTAATGAGCAAATAAGTTCATCTTTCACAGTAAAGGCTACAAATCAGTACTCAAATACTGTTTTTTAAAATGGTAACAACTGTTTCAGTTAACCACAGTAGGTATAAACAGCTTAATCTATATCAAAATGGAATAAAACATTTTGGTAATGGAAGGCCATGGACATGCCCACAACCTCAACATTGAAGAATACAATGCCTTTATTAATAAAGGATGATTGGTCCAAAAGCAAGCTTGCAGTCTTGATGGATTATTTTTCAATGTCATAGTGATCACTGCAAATACATTTTAGTTTATAAATGGAACCTTATAATTAATAAACATGGCAAAATATACCAAGTATTTCAACAAAGATTTGTAATTAAATGGTACCACCCAACCAAGACTGTTCAAACATTTGTGGGAAAAATGCCATATCATGTTCCTATGCATACTTATTGAAACTCAAAAACCCATGCTAAAACAAGCTAGCCCAAATCTCCAAAAATCAGTAGCAATGAACTAAAACTTAAGGTATTTTTAACACCTATAATTAACACCCCATTACACTGATTATGTTTTATGGACATGGCATTTCTACTGTCCATACTATCTGCACACTCCCTAACAAACTAACAATATTGTGCTAAGTGACGCAGCAAGAAATACACAAGATGTCATGGGATGTTCTCAATATATGAACTATGGTTACTTAAAAGGGATTGTAACTGAACTCATAGTTTATATACAGCCTATTCATTTTTAAATGGGGAAAATCAGACAAAACAATTGAAGTGGGTGATCCCTGGCATGCTTAAAGTAGAATGTGCAGCAGTGTTTTCAGCCAATGAATACCTCAATTCATGAAATCTACTTTTTCTGTGAGAAACTAGCTTGCTAAAGAATTAAAGTTAAATAAGAATCCCAACACAACAATATACTAGTCATATTAGGCGTCTGCTCAAATTCCTGACAAATTGCCCAGTGCAGTTCGGGCGTAAATCAACATGAACAAATGAAGAACTTCTGATTCTTTAATGACATCTGACAGAAAGGAAACAAGCAAACAAACTGCTCTAAACATGCCAGGGTCCTCACCTAATGAGGCCGGAAACCTTGTCTGTGGAGAATTTTTGGCGTCACTTGTAGAAAACCTATACACCGTACATTTCTAAACTTGCAACTGTTATATAATTGTAAACAATAAGCACCAAACTGCTCTACATGCATTTCAATATCACAGCAAGAATGACCTAGCATAACTAAACAGAGAAAAGAGCATCCATGCAAGATATCCAAGTCTTTGTTACAAGAACGGTTACATTTCAAACTTGACACAATTCTATTGTGGTTACATACAGGGCCTACAAAATTGATGAAATGGTGGCAGTGTGAAGTTTGGCCCTTACTACCCTGAACTAGACGACAGCCACCATTTACGTTGCACATTTTTTTACGTTTTTTCATCTTTGCTAATCAACTCTGCTGTCTCTGACAATTCTTGACATAACTAGAAAAGACAAAATTGTAATCACTGAACTGGGCACACTGGCGATCGAGGCGCTTGAATCCTTCAATTTTCTGGGGAGAAGAAAATGAATTGCGACATTTGGAATTCTGTAATGAAATAAAAACAGTGCATTACAACAAAGGTGTGTCCATCAATTTCTAAATTCAAACATCCAGTGAATGCTGCAAAACGGTTTGATGGAAAAGAACACAATAGTTGTTGCTATTATATGTAGAGTTTGAAAAGTTCCAAAAAAATGGATTAGCCCTGCAGTAAAGTATGCTGCTTGACTTTTTATTCCTTCAGATGTAAGCACGGTCAATCCCTAATAACGCTTGAAGATGGTAATTGACCTTCTTGAACTGCCACACACTGTAGTGGAGGTTATACCCGGTATGAGAGGTGCGCAGGTTTCTGACCTAGCAAGCAAAGGAATGACAATATAGCTCCAAGTCACAAATGATAAAGAACTTGCAGGCGTGGTTCAAACACGTCTGCAGCCCTTGGCTTTTCTAGGTGCTAACAGTCACATCCACAGAAAGGTCTACTTCAGAAACCTTGGCGAGTTATTGCTGTTTCTTACAACTGGAAGATTTAGCTGCCACTGTGCACAAGTCATCCACGGTCTCCAAGAACTGCCTAAAAAGCCTAATTTAGGTAATGGAGACAATTCCAACATAGTCCTGACTTGGGCTTTGAGATGGTATCCAAGCTTTGGTCGTCAGAAGATCATTGTTTATTACAGCCTCCAACTTGCCCTTGACGGTACTGTATTTACAGCTAGTCCAGTTCAGTTTCTGATCAATGGTATCTCTCACTGTTTACGGTGGAGGATCGCGTGATGGCAATGTTATTGAATGTCAAGGGAACCTAGCTAGACTGTTGCTTCAGGAAACTGTCCATTGTCTGGGATCAAATGTTACTTACGACACATTCAACCAAACTGGAACGCTGTCCAGGTCTTGAAGAGGTGGAAACTAAGAGCAGAAATAGCCATTCAATATGATCACAGCTGGTGCTCTATTTCAGTGCCATAATCCCACTTTCTCTGTATATCCCTTGAAGCTTTTAAGATCTAAAAAAGCTAGCCATCTCCCTTGAACATACCCGAGTGTCCCACAGACTAGTGGTAGCAAATTCTACAAGCTGACCACCCTATGAATGAAATGTACATCTCAGTCCTAAATGACCACTATTCAAGAACACCCAGATTCTTCTGTATGCACACAACCCCGATAGATCACTATTTAAATAATAGTCTGCACTTCTGCTTTTCATAGCAAGGTGCGTGATGTTACATTTATACTCAACTTGTCTACATCACCCTGAAGCCTCCCTTTCAGCCTCTTCACAACTAAATCCCACCTGGTTCTGGGTTATCAAACTTGGAAATATTACAATTGGATTACAATTACACACGGCGGCTCAGTGGTTAGCACTGCTGCCTCACAGCTCCAGGAACCCGGGTTCGATTCCACCCTCGGGAGACTGTGTGTGGAGTTTGCACATTCTCCCCGTGTCTGCATGGGTTTTCTCCCACAGTCCAAAGATGTGCAGGCCAAGTGGATTGGCCATGCTAAATTGCCCGTTCAGGGATATGTAGATGAGGTGGGTTATAGGGGGATGGGTCTGGGTGGGATGCTCTGAGGGTCAGTGTGGACTTGTTGGGCCGAAGGGCCTGTTTCCGCACTGTAGGGATTCTATAATCCTCTACCCAAGTCATTTTTATATATTGTCCATATTTGGAGCCAATGGCCTGATCCTTGCAGCACTAGTTACTGCTGGCCACCTGGAAAAAAGACCAATTTATTCCCAGCTTGTTTCTGGTCTGTCAACCAACTCTTGAATCATGCCAGTATATTACCGTAATCCCATGTACTTCAACATTGCCCATTTGCCTCCTATGTGGGATCTTATCAAAAGCCTTCGAAATTCAAATCCACTGGCTCCCACACACTTATTCTACTAACTACATCCTCAAAACAAAACTCCAAGATTTGTTAACCATGAATTCCCTTTCACAATCTGTTATGCAGAGTTAACATAACCGCATAAATGTTTTCCAATTGTTTGGTATCAACCGTTTTATTATAGAGTGTAGCTTTTGCTCCACAGCTGGCTTGTCGATTCGGGTATACAATTCTCATTTTAGGGCTCTTGTGGCACAGTGGCAGTGCCCCTAACTCTTAGCCAGGAGGTCCAGGTTCAAGTCCCACCTACTCCATAAGTATGAGTAGCTGGACTATTTGAGGGAAGTTTGGACTCTAAGTCCATAACAATGTGGTTGAGTCACATGTAGGACAGCTTTCCTTCCTTATAGGAAAGGACATTAATTCCTCACTACTTCAATATCCTCCATGTTATTTTGTTATAACGTCACGAACAAAAGAAGAAAAATGAATGTTTTAACAGTGACATTCACTTTGCTCCCAGTCAGCTCTTACTGTTCAAGTCCTCAGTGATTGCCAGCACAAGAAACTCCCTCAGTTGCCACAGCACTGACGTCAGTTGCTGCTAGATGGAGCCGTCACTCAAAGCAGGCAACTGGTGAGTGTAATCTTTTTACTATATTTTTCCTCATATTGTGAGCACCATTTTTCTTTTGGAAGCATTTAAGACGATAGGAAGGTTTTAGTTTTTCTGATGAGGAACATCTAAAAGAACTTAACTACCTGTTTTTAAACATTAGTTGCAGTGGGGAACATGATTTGTTTTACATTCTTTTACTTAAAATAACAACCTTCAAGACTGCAGCTACAACGTTCAGAAAGGAATTCCAGTGATAACAAATGAAGTTTTATAATAATCTGGTAATTACATAGGCCCCATCATTGAGTCCAACTCATTGAGTCCAACTTTGCAATTGCCCCAGCTTGAAGTATAATTTGAACTGAATTCTACCGAATATTTTGTCAAGCCTCTGCATTTCTAGTCAAGTTGCAACACGCTGTGCAACTGTTGTGAAGTCGAGTTTGTTGTAACTTCAATTTTAAATGTTTCTTAAAGAAATATTGGCCAAGTCTTTTAAAAAAGTAATCCATTCCTGTAATGTGTACCTTATTGGGAATGTCAGAAATTAATGCTCATCTCTTTCCTCTGTTGTGTGGACTGTAACAGACCAGACTGTTAAGGACAACAGAGTATTTGAAGGACATCAGTGAAACAACTGAATGTTTATAGCAATCTGACAACTTTATTGTCACTTAAATATATCTTTTTATTTCCAGATTTGAGAGATGGCTCAAATTCTGAAACGGCCATGGTTGGGATTTGAGCTTAAATGGTCCAATACACTTTGTCTTCTCTCAATGAAAGATCACCTGAAACACTGCCTCTGGTTTCTCCAGGCACAAATACTGCTAGCCTGAGCACTCCAAGCATTTTTGTACTGTATTTCACATTTCAAACATTTGCTGTACTTTGCTTTTGTACAAATCTAGAATCTCACCTGGTTAACAAAAAGGGTTGTGACAAATTTCCCTGGCTTGAAGACGTCTACAACTTTTTTGATTAGGTCATCGTAAGAAGTCTGGGCCAGGTTAGTCTCAAAACTAACATAGGAGAAGTCTGGCTCTGGGGTGATATGAATTGTCCAGTAAGTTCCCTAAAAAGACAAAGCATTAAATGACTTGTTTCAGTTAAGTTACAAATGACCAACAGTTCAACAGAAGATATTGTAAAGTCAAACATTTCTCACGTATTATTGCATATCAGTGGTCCTGAAATAGTACAAAACAGTCTAGTGAATTTTGAAGTCCGTTCCTCGGCCTACTACAGATTTCAATAACATCAGAACCTTCAGCCAAATATTTTCATTTCTCCTTCAGGATTTTGAGATCTTCATTTTGTCAGATGATGGAAATTAATTTTTAAATGCTACACAACTGGTAAGCTCATTCAGCTCAGTCATTAAAAACAGTGATGTACAACTTTTAGAAAGGTATACAATGTACTAGGGAAGAGTGCATGTGATTCCACAGGAAAATGTATTTAAAGATATGTCCCCTAACTTTGGAGACAAAAATCCTCATTCCATTAAAAAACTCAACTCTGGTCAGACATTGAAATCCATAATTGTTCAGAACACACTATATTGCAGACAAGTATCATTTTCTTTTGCATTCAGGACAGCTACATCCAGTGAGTGCACTGATCACTTCACAATTATCTTGTCCACAAGATCAGAATACATACTGACCCACGATGTGAACACTCATTTACTTTCAATTTCATGAAAGCATCATTTCCAAAAAAAAAGGAAAAGAACCTTCATTTGCAATACACTTTAGCTCGTGGGATATGCCAAGTCTCAAGTGAGGACTACAATCTGAAAAAGTTGCACTTGTCTAGGCCAAACAACTTATTTTTCATTGGACAAACAGTCCCTCTTCCGCAGTTACACTGGTACTATCCCCCAACTCTTCCTCTGCTACATTATGACTGCATCAGTGCCGCCTCATGCTCCCACGAAGAGCTCGAACAGTTCATCAACTTCACTAACACCTTTCACCCCAACCTTAAGTTCATCTGGACCATCTTTGATACCTCTCTCCTTCCTGGACCTTTGTCTCCATCTCTGGTGACCACCTTGAAACTGATGTCTATTTCAAGCCCACCAACTCCCACAGCTACCTAGAATCAACCTCCTGTCACCCACCTTCCTGCAAGAATGCGATCCCCCACTCTCAATTCCTCCGCCCCCAAGATGAGGCATTCCTCTCCCGAACATCCCAGATGTCCTCGTATTTCCAGTACCGCAACTTCCCCCCTTCAGTGGTCGAAAACGCTCTTGACCGCATCTTTTGCGTTTCCCACACCCCCTCCCCACAATCAAAACAAAGACAGAATCCCGTATCCTCACGTATCACCCCACTAACCTCCGAATTCAACGCATCATTCTCCATCACCTGCAATCTGACCCCACAACCAAGGATATATTTCCCTCTCCACCCCTATCTGCCTTCCAGGATTGCTCTCTCTGCGACTCCCTCGTCCGTTCCACTCCCCACTAGCCCCACCACCCCCGGCACCTTTCACTGCAACTGCAGGAACTGCTACAACTGCCCCCATACCTCCCCCAACTTACCTCCATCCAAGGTACCAAAAAAACATTCCACATCAGACAGATGTTCACCTGCACATCAGTTTATGTCGTCTATTACATCCACTGCTCCCGATGTGGCCTTCTCTACATCGGTGAGGCCAAGCAGAGGCTCGGAGACCACTTTGTGGAGCACCTGCGCTTGGTTCGCAACAAACGACAACATCTTGCAGTCACGAACCATTTCAACTCCTCCTCCCACTCCCTGGACGACATGTCTATCCTGGGCCGCCTCCAGCGTCACAACGACACCACCCACAAACTGGAGGAACAGTACCTCATATTTCGCCTTGGGATCTTACAACCCAGTGGTCTCAATGTGGACTTTACTAGCTTCAAAATCTCCCTAAACCCAACCTCATCCCAAGACCAGCACTCCCTCTCATCCCCGCCTCCTTGACCTGTCCGTCTTCTCTCCCACCTCACTGACCAATCCCCACCACTCCCTACCTGCACTCACCTATCGCCATCCCACCCCCCCTTCCCAGCCCCCCCCCTCCCCTATTTATTTCAGAGCCCCCTTCCCCCTCCCCATTTCTGAATGGTCCAGACCCAAAACGTCAGCTTTCCTGTTCCTCTGATGCTGCCTGGCTTGCTGTGTTCCTCCAGCTCCACACTTTGTTAACTCATTTTTCATTGTAGTCAGCATTTCAAAATGAAGTTTTAAATGAAATGCTTGTCAAGTGTATGAAGCTTGAACAAAATGCATAGCTGATTTAAAAGCGGTCTCAACACACTTCATTCAGAAATGTGAAATGGGCACTTTATTTAGCATAATGGACACCTGTCATTGACCCTTACAAAATGATTTCTCTTGGTTAAAGACATTCATTTGGATTAGTCAGTTAAGCACTGTGTGCTTATAGAATAAACCAAGGCACGCTCATAAACTGCAATACCTTCAAACTTTGGTAAAGCATACACAATTCATACCTGGAAAAGGCCGAGTGCCTGATTTTTCCTCAAGACAACTTGTAAATCGATGACACAAATGTAGATTCAGAACCAAATAGGAAATTGTGGACAAAACTTATTACCTTTCACCACACTTAAAACCAATGCAAATTGCCAAAATACCAATTTACCTTGGCCTCACTTTTGTTTCTACACTCCACCTGAGCCAAAAAGGGTCATCTGAACCTGGGGTTCAGTCCACTCCTGGTTCAAAGGGGACTTCAGTTTTCTTAGAGTATTTATTTTCCAATACACGGGTTATTATTTCACATTGATTACATCTGGATAAGAACTCACTTGTTCTTCAGATTGCATTTTTTAAAATACAAGTAACTACAAGTAGACATTTTGATTTGATGAGCAGGGGAGGGAGGGAGGGAGGGTGGGAGAAGAAAGGGAAATGGGAAAAATTAGAAGCTGAAGATAGGAGACGAACTTACATCCACTTTCATTCCATTCATTGAATACCCACAAGGATCGAACAATGTGGCGTCAATGACTGAACCTGGTATCAGGTCACGAATTCCACTCATCTTTTTAAAAAGGAAAGATGTTTAAGATTATATAGGTTTTGTAAAAAATTATATTTTTAAATGTTAAAGTTTATTTCATACATACTCGAGTGACATCATTTACAGTAACACCATCTTTCATGAAGAACTGGTCCATGACAACTGGATCAAGCTCGCTCATCAGAACCTCAAGTGTCTGATCCGGCTGTTTGATCCCACTATCCTCTGGCATATCCAGAGTGTAAAGATACCTGGATCAAACAAATGACATTTGTGAGAACCTTTACATTAATATTTCCCAATTGGTAAGTATTCTACAAAACAAACTTCTACAGAACTCAACTATGAAGCCTATCCCTTAGAACAGAGCAATTGCTTAAGACTTGTAAACACAATGATGTGGGAATATAATTACAATTTGGGTTTAGTATTAGGCTGACTTCCAGAGTGTTCGAAATATTAAAAAGTTGTAATTCTGAAGTACAAAAATGTACCAACCTGAGCACAACCTATGTCATTTGTAACTAACCTAACTTCACATTAATCTGGGACAGATGACTTATTGTCTTGTTCTCTTTCCTTTGCTCTGAAGGTATTTTCCTGAAACTTCTCGAAAACAATTGTTAAAATGGTTCAGACAAAAGTATAGAATTAATTGGATTCATGTTTGCAAGAAATCTGTAGGATGATTTCAGCTTACCAGCAATCAGAATTCATACGTCCCATGCAATAGGCCGCCCCATCTGGAGTGAATAAATTCTTGTGGTTAGACACTAATTTGCTACAAAAATTTCGTTTTCTAAATAAAGCACAATCATTTTGAATACAATTGCTAAGACCGATAGTGGATTGCAGATAGTAAGCTTTTTATTTTTTGACAGAGGTAGGCAATTGAAGAATAAAGCAAATTGAACTTATCCAAATTCTCTTGAATACTTAGGAAACTGGTTGGAAGGTGATTAGACAATCAGCTTTGTGTTCAAATCAGTTGGATCACATTCCACTCCCTGCGAGCTACCACAACCAAACATGAGCTTATTTCTGAGGAGTTCTGTGGAAGGGTCACCGTTCCCGAAAAGTTAACTGATGTTTTTCTTCACAGATTCTGCCAGACCTGCTGAGCTTTTCCAGCAACTTCTATTTTTGTTCCTAACTTACAGCATCCACAGTTCTTTCGGTTTTTATGAGCTTATTTCTAGTGGATATAGTTTTCTGCTGCTCCCACACCATGACCACCAGCATCCCTCACCACCTACCTCCCCATCTGCATGCCACCCTCAAAACAAAAAAGCAATATGCTTTTCCTTATATTATGATATCCTGTTCTACCTCACTCAACTCTGCCAGGATTACTAACTGGATATGTAACATCCACCATTAAATTGAGAAATTTTCACTTAAGTATTTTGAAAATCAAATTGCCTTCAGTCTATTCTACATCACAATCTCCTGAACCAAATGTCATCTTGAACTATTACATAATGCTATCCTTGAATAATGCCACCCACCTCCACCTTGATTCCTATTTTTTCTTGAACATCACATTTTTCCAACTTCAGGATACAATTGCTGTCATCCTGTAGCCTCATCTCTGTAGTGGCTGGCAGATTATATTTATTTGCTTCAATGCACATTATCAATATGTTTACTTTGTTACAAATGCTATGTGCCTACAGATGCAGCCTTTAGTTTTTTATCTTTCTGTTATCCACATAACATTGAGTCTTGATTGCTGACTTATTCCTAGGCTCACTTTTCTCTGCCATTCACTTATTCTCATTTTCATATTACTATTTCTCCCATTGTCAGACTGTGATAAACCAAATCTTGATTTTTTTTGCCCATATGTAATTTAAACTGTTTACTGCTCGAGTTGTGCAGTTTACAAGAATACGGTCCTAGCAGGGCTCAGGCATAACACATCCCAATGACATGGGCACCACCTTTTCCAGGAGTGGTGCCAGCACCCCACGAACCTGACGCACATCTCACATCGGAGCTATTTTATGCATGCTCAGTAATAACCCAGAGATGGGCTTTTCATGTTCTGTTTTTTAGTTTAGTCTTTTCTAGTTCCAAGTATGGAGCTGGTATTTACCACAGGATCCTTCCCCTCACTGCAAGATCCTTTCCAGCCCTGAGCAAACATCCCAAAATCTGGACAGTCAACACAGCCACTTGGAATCTCAATCGTCGCTCCAGATTATGGTGTTAATCTCCCTCACTAGTACTCCCTGCACTTGAATGTCTTTCTGGTCACTTTGACATCCACCCTGCAGCCTCTCAAACAGGCTCAAACTTATTGGACAACTGCAGAGGTGACATTCCTGCCCCATTCTACGTCAATTAACAATTTACAGTCATTAGGCTCAATTCCAGATTTGCACTGAATTGAATTTATGGTATTTACCTTGCACTCTTGTACAACTTCTAGCATTCAACAATCCAATTCCATTAACTTTTCACATTAGCTTAGTGAACTTCCAACTTATTAGTTCCAGCTTAAACCCTGCTTCATGCATGTTCAAACTTGTAAATAAATTCAGCATTGAAGATTTTATTAGCTTCAACAATTTCTACTGAGATAAACTTACTTGGGAACACCATATCCAGAAATTCTACCTCCTCCTGAAAGTTCCTATGTGGGTATTCCTGATGTGCTGGCTTCACAAAGTTTTTGCGGGAATAGAAAAAATCCTGTATTTAAGATACATGCACAGATTTCCATTAAGTGGATTTGGATTTAGAGCGTTACTAGAATTACAATCAGTGACTGTATTAAAATGAGCTATTAAACGTCTAACAACTGGTGAAGATATATGGTGTTACTTCCTAACAATATGCTACTATCAGTTTTTTCTCTTATTACAAACGCTTGGCTACAGTCAGGAGATTTCAGAGACTGACGGAAGTCAATCTGTGCAGAAGTGATTTAAGGAATTTGAAGTACTCTGAATGTGAAATATGCCATTTATACTTTCCTGCATCCCAAACACACTATTACAACTATATCATTACAACAGATAACATATCATCCCCTGTATATACATTACAATTATTTGCATTTCTCAATTTCTTGTACCATTACCTTAACTTTCAATAGCTCACTTGTTAATTACACCCAATACAAACATGGATTAAGTGCAAGACCTACAAAAAAAAGTCAAAGTTACCTGAATGGAATCAAAGCCGCAGTACTCACGAGCAAGTTCCAACAGGGGTTCCAGTGCTTGCAGTAAGAGGGTGGTACCGCATGTCTTCAAAATGAAACGTCTCTTGGAGACAAACATGCTACTCTCACTGTAAAACAGTCAAAATTAAAAAGGCTAAAGATTCTCCCCCCTCATCTCAACTTTTAGGATTTTTGGCAACTTGAGCTACAACCCAGAACAGCCTGGCCTACACTTAATTCACCAACTTTGGTGACAAGTTACAAACTTCCTCTCTTGTCTCCAAAGAAAAATTGCTGCAAAGAAATGTTTCAAATTCACATACGTTCCCTCTCAGCTCTTGCTAGTCCACAATATGCCAGTGAGAGTCACTCATAGGCTCCCCAGCTTAGGCTTGGGAGCAAAGTGGGTCATTCACTCCTTTGAGCCTGCTCCTCAATCTATGAGATCATGGCTGCTGAGTTCAACTCCATTTTCCTGTTTTTGCCCCTAACCTCTCCAGTGACTCTTGACTTCTCTGGTCTACCAAAAACATATTTATCTCAGCCTTGAATAAATTCAATGACCCAACCTCCATTGTAGATAGAGCACTGGATGAAGCATTAAACAAGCATTACATGTTTGGATAAAACAGAATTATTAGCGCTTGTGACAAATACAAATAGTAACAGGGAACTTTAACCTGAATATAGATTGGGCCAATCAAATTTGCAAAAGTTTGTAGAATGCTGTTGTAACAGTTTCCTGGAACAATGCTCTACAGAATAAACTAGAGATCAAGCTACTTTAAAATCTAGTATTGCACAATAAGCAGGACTAATGAGCATTGTAAGATATCCACAGCGGAAATAATGACAATAGCAGAACTGAATTCCACAAGTTTGAAAACAATATTGTACAACTATAAACAAAAAATTTAAAAATGAACACTTTAGATATGGGACAACAAGGTGCAGGGCTGGATGAACACAGCAGGCCAAGCAGCATCATAGGAGCAGAGAGGCTGACGTTTCGGGCCTAGACCC